CGAAAAATCAGTCTAAGGAGCCACCTAAATAAGCACATCATCCGAATTCTGATGAATAAAGCGCGCAGCAGAATAAGGCGAGAGATAGGACAAGAACAGTGCGGGTTCATTAAAGACATCGGAACGCGATATTTATGCTCAGAATGTTATCAGAAAGAATAATACAAATGCAGAAGAACGTGTACCTGTGTAAGATATGCAGATGTCACAGTGCAGATAGCTGACAGAAAACTACAAAAACTTCCTACAGAAAGTAGCGAAGGAGAGCGAGAAGAAGTGACTATACATAAACTACAAAACAGAATGCATGGTCATGAGGCAAAATATGAACCGAAACATTTACAGATCGAGAACACTAAAATCAAGCAGGTACTGACATTTAAATATCTGGGAAGTTTTCTATCAGAGGACGGAAAGTGTGGCACTGAGGTCCAAAGACGTATTGGGATGGCCAAAAGACGCATTCCAAAACATAGGCAGTGTATTACGAGTTTCGCTGGAAACAAAGAAAAGAGCACTGAACTGTTACATGTTATCTGTCCTCCAGCATGACAGCGAATGCTAGACAATCTCCTCAAAGATGAAGAAGAGACTTGAAACAACAGAAATGTGGTTCTACAGAAAGATCATGAGGATACCGTGGACCGAACGTGTGAGCAACAACGAGGTTTTAGAGAGAATGGAAACAAAAAAGGAAAAAGGATGTTATACTTAACATCAGGAAGAGGCAGTTGAAATTTATTTAATGCCGACAAGTTTATTATTGCTGGTAATATTTTTTTCCAAAAATGTATTAATGGTATTAAAACCTATTTTTACATTTCCATGCTGTTTTGACCCAAGTTGGGGGTTAACTATTTTCCCATATCTCGGACCCTAACAGGTGCTACCACCCAGGACAGGATGTGGGAGAAATAACGAAAAGAGAAAACTTATTAACAAAGGACAGGAGGAGGTGGCGGGCTATGATCGTCTACGTCCTGAAGGGACACATCACATAAAGGAGAAGTAAAAAAAATCCTTATAACCTTAAGTTATATGATACTGCACGCAAATAGTCAACTACTGAAGAGCACTCGTTAAAGGATGCCAATAATTTTTTTACGTTTTCCATTTACGTCTCTGTATTTCTTGGCGTTCTTGATATTTTGGCAACTTGCTCTTACTTTTGCAATATGAATTTCTGGCAAGTCCTGTTCTCTTTTAAGAATTTCCATATTGTGTGATGATGAGATGACACTTGCTGCAAAAAAAACCTATGCTATTTTTCAAGGACATTATTAGTTCTAATCAACATTGACACTACCAAAGCAAGACCACATACGTATTTCAAACAAAGGTATTTCGAATAATTATCATTTAGTAAAATTGCCTTTCAATTAATTTTCATTCAAATAATTTACAATTCGAATAAAATTTTTTTGAATAATTGTTTTCGAACAATTTTCTCGATAACACTGGATTATATATCTAAGTGGGTTCATTTTCACGTTATCTTTCAATTTTTGATCTGTGATGATGTCCCTCTGATTTTGTAATGTTTCGATTTAAGCTGAAAGTCTTTTAGGCCATATCACACATAAAACGTCTTTTAGGCCATATCACACATATCTAAACCACATAAAACAACTGAAAGAGTCTACATAAAGCATATCTTTTTAGATATCTTATTGATTCCAGCACGCCTTTATGTCTTCCAAAAATCATTCCCCCACCCAGGATTATTTGATGTTTTATTTTTTGGTCGTTCTTGCAAGATAGCTTGCGACCAAGATATAAAAAATCAGTCAAAAGTATATCAAAATACGAAAAGATAGTAAAATAGAGTATTGTATAATATTGGCTAGGCATTATGTGACATACGAGATATTACAAGGTCGTCGATGAGATTACCATGTCATCCACTGACAACTATTAAATTTTGATGAAGTCTGTACCAAGAAAGAAAGACGAACTCAACAATTCAGTGGACCACTCAAAATTACTAGTACCGGGCAGATAAAACATATCTGATAAACATCCAACTCATACATTGAAGACCAGAATTCCCAGAGATAACAGTATGACTTAGAAAATTCTTGTTCAATAAATATTTAAATCGTTGCCGCGTTTGAGAAGAGATATTTGGAAGATATATATATATATATATATATATATATATATATATATATATATATATATATATATATATACAAAAAAACTGTTGATTTTCGGTGTCTCGTGCTTCGGTCGATATGTAAACTATGAAAATGAACAGTAATTTTCTTCTTTAGAAGCAAACTGTATTTTAAACACAACTAGAATCAAACTGACATTTCTTGGACACATAATGAGGAAGCAGAGCTTGGAAAATTTGACACTCACGGGATATATTGAAGAAAAAAGAAAAACGGGGGCCGAATAAAGATATTCGCAGACTGACAAGGAGCAACAGAATTTCAATATTTGTACTTCAATTCTATGATTAAAACCATGAATTAAATGGTTGAATCTTTTGAGATTCTATGATCGGTTTCTGTTCAGTAAAACACATAGACTGTTCGTAGAAAATATTATGATAACCTTATTCATGAGGCAAAAATAACAGCTACTGCATCGTTACAACTACGCATATCAACATCAGATATACAGTTTGATGCATATTTTCAAGACCAGCTGAACTTTCAACTTATAAAGATTGAATTTTGCTTATTTGACCCATATATATTTTTGCTATAAGAAAACTTTTCTACAATTAACTATTTTCAAATGTATTTTTTCATAGAATTTTAAAAATTGACCAAAAACATCTGTTGCGAAATCATAAAACCAATAAAATAATGTCCAATAATGTTATTTTATTTATTAATATGTTACACATAAAATGAAAACCTAGACAATTGATCGTTGTCTATTGAATCTCAGTCACCTTATATGGATTTTTTTCATCTTTTGTGTTGAATGTTATTGACGTCCACTTTCGTATATTTTACGAGTATGCTTATCTTACAGGTTCTAAATTGAAGTCAGAAGAACATACTGACTAAATCATGTTATCAATGTCGTAGATGTGAAATCATTTAGGTCCTCTCTATCTCTAGAGTCATTTGTAAATATCTTTGTGTTTGTTGACTTCAATGACCACTTCTGAGTGGAAGGCAAACGATAAAGAAAGAAAAGGTAACTGACTGAGTTTAATGAAAATTAGAAGCATCAATGGAAGACCAATCGGCAGACTCAAGTGACAGTTCCCTAGCCACTGAAAGATGTTCTCAAACATAGACACCCAAGCCATGCATGTGAACAATAGAGCCCTTTCGAAAGAGAAAAAAGATAGCCAGGAGCTAAATAGTCAGAATTCAGTGGTAGGAATTGAAGAGTTTAGTTTACTTTCACAGAGATCTAGGATGTCTGGAGAACGTTCCAAAAGAAATGATTCTGCATTACAGAAATTGATACGAATGCCAAGAATGTTGGAGAAAGAAAGGGTGAGTGGCTTAGGTTTTTTGTTTTTTGTTTGTTTTTTGAAAAACTGGTTTAATTGTATTTTGTTTTATCGTTTTGGCCGTGGTATAATTTTAAGTTGAGACAGTCGAAGAATAAATATAGTTGCCGATCGCCAAAAGCAACATAAGCTGGTTTGAAGTTCAATGTATCCATTGTATTTCCAGGGTATCGACGGATACTCTGCTATCATTGTTAAATTGAAAGCGGATATTATTAGCCGAGGTGTGCTTATTTCATGGATACAAGGTCAAGTTCCGATGTTCATGTGCGATTTAAAGCTTCTTTTGGTAACGAGCATTGGTTTAGCATATGTATTCTGACTGGACATCGTCTACTCAGCTCCATACACAATAATGTTCAATGTGTTATGAGTTTTGTTTCATTTCTGCTCTCCATTTAGTCTTACGGCCATATCGTATTGAAACGCTGATTTCTGTACGCTCACCGATGTTAAGCAACATCGAAGCTGGTCAGTACCTACTTGTGAATACCAGGTGCTCTAAGCTTGGATGAGCGGCTGGTGTAATGAATAATGGCTTGGAATTGTTAATCGAAGAGCCGAGTTCCAATTCCAGTTGGGTTCGTTATATTCTCTTACATACACTTGGGAACCTCTTCTCCCTTCAACTATGGGTTAAATAGTAAGACATGTATCGCTAAGTCATTATTATCCCCACTACAAAAAATTATTTCATATTAAAAATATTTTCTGGCTTTAAATAACGTGTAACAGATTGATAAGCCGTAGAAAACGAATCAATCAACAATCATTCAATTCACTCCGCAATTGATGCCCAGAGTTCCTTCTGATGAGCACAAGTGAAAGTAAATATCCACAGGCCATTCTGTTTTGGAAGTGACGTGATGTGAGCTAGTTTTCTGGCTTTATCAAAATTATCTAATTTTGTCTTTCTGTCCGTAACTGCACTTTTCAACGCATCAAAATGAAGTAATTGAGACCCCCACACACACACACACACACATTAAGCCGACCTTGTGTCACAACCTGACCTCATGGTGTTTTGAGTAAATACAAATTGAGACCGGTTCAACTGCTGATATACAGTGTAGCGTATATTTATAAAACCAGCTGAACTTTCAACTTATAAAAGCTGAATTTAGCTAATTTTTGTCGCCATATTATAAGTTCTTGTATACATATATTATGAGTAACTATTTTGAAAAGTACTTTTCCGTAAACTTTTTTAAATGGCCAAAAACAAATGCAAAATAATAATAAGACCAGTAAAGTGACTTTGTAAAACCTCACTGGCGATAAATAATCTGAAAAATGCGTTCTGGAAAATTTTCTACCTGTCTACACAAATCATTGTCTACTGGATCTTATGCATCGTATGTGTACATTTTCAACTCTTGTGTTAAATGTTATTGACATCTACCTTCATATAACTTACGAGTAATCATATTGCGTAGGTTTTCAATTAAATTAAGGTCATAATTAAAGCATCGGTATAATAACATCAAATATTGTGCTTCTGAAATCATTGTGCTTTATGTCATGGAAGTTCTATCTGATGCCAGTAATTTCTTCTATATATTAAAATGAGGGACCAGATAAAAGCCGAGTACTGGTGAAGGATATTGATGTTTTTCAAAATGGTTCAATGGTTTCTGTGTGGAAAGAATTGAAAAAATCACCCAGTTTAAGATTCTCAAAACCTTAAGAGCAACAATTACTGAATTGGATAAAAGAACATATGAAAGAAAGAAATAAACGTCTGTGGTATTGTGAAACAAAAAGAAGATCCTGATGGATTTGCGTCTTATTGTCATGATTTGCGCAATGAGGACCCGTTGTTCTTTCACAATCTTCAAGATGGTGGAAGTGTAATGGATTCTGAAGTTTTTGAACCTCTTGGAGAAATACCGATAGTCTTCATCGGCACTTGGTTTATTGCTGCCCGATATCAATATGTTTTGTCATTTGCTTTGCTCCCTTATACAAATGAAACTGTCAACTTGAAATTCCAACAAGACAATGCTCCAATCTATCGAGCTTGTTTTTTTATCATTTTATCCCATACCATTAAGATCCAAAGGGTTACAATATGAATAAAACTTCAATGACGAGAAAAGACAATAAAAGAAAGGGATCTAGGAAGACAGAAAATAGCGATTGTCGTTACATTTTTTAAGATTGTAGATGGTAGGGATGCAAGAAAACAAAAGAGAGTTCAAGAAGGGGGAATTAAAGTTGATAAGCACAAATATATTTACAAACGAATGTAGAAAGAGGTCCTTATCTATACTATCATAAATTATATCTATCAAGCAACAGTCCTGAGAGGAAGTGGAACAATAAAGGAAAAAGAAGCCTGCGAAGACAGTGAAATATTTTGGGTAACATTTTGCTGAGAAACACATGGCCGTATGATTGATGTCACCAACCTATCATTGAGAAGCCAAATAGATATGGTAGAGTAATCGATTTATTTTTCAGCAGAATAATGCTTCCTTGCACACTGCACGTATTGTATAAAATATGTTTTCAAGAACAGGGTGAATTTCACTGAGTTACCTTAACCACCAAACACGTAAGATCGTGATTCTACTTATCTAATGTGTTAGGCTAACAAGTTCGCATTGCTCGATGTCACCTATCACGTAACTTCCTGCACTTAAACCATTGTTAACATCTTGGAACCAGATCACAGAATAAACTTTTAGAATTCATATCTGAGTCATTTCGTGGCAAGAAGAAAGACCCACACCTTGGTAAGCAGGTAAGAATGTTTTGATTCATCCGTACACATTGACACAAAAAAATGAATAACTTATTTTAAATTAAGATCTTGTACTGTAAGCTGTGCGGCTCAAGATTCCGACCTTCATTACCTTCAATACTCGTGTAAAAGTCGATTTCATGTATAGTCGACCCCCGAATTTTTGCATGAATTTTAAGCCCTCAAGAAAAGACTTATTTGTGTATAGTGCAACCAGTCATCGAAAATACATGATTTTAACCTCTTTTTTTTTAAATTATCTGATAGACCTCTTATTTTTTGTGTAAAAACTTCTAAAAACCTGCACTATACTTGAGTATATAGCATAGTTCGCTTTCGCACTAAAGCCCTTGAGAAAATCAAATTTCCATTTCTTCTTCACACACCTCTGCTATGGGTTCAATAGCAGGGTAGACTGAGTTCTCTAGCCTTGGGTGGTAGTCAGAATACGAGAAGGAAAATTATTAATTCAAAACTGTGGAGAATGCAAGGAAAAAGGGCGCCAGTGTCTTTCCAAAGTCACGACAATTAACAAATAATTAAAGAAAATAGTAATTGCAAGTGTGCAGGTAGTATAACGGATATCGACGCTTAAAGTGGAAAGAGTTCAAATTTAGGACTAGACACTTGTGCCCAACTTCTCTCTCACTAACACTGTGAAAATCTGAATCCCTCTTTTTTTCACCAATTCAAACTAGGGATTAAATAGCAGGGTAGACTGAGTTCTCTAGCCTTGAATGGCACTTTATCTACGAGTAGAGAATACCTTAATTCAAAAACGTGGAGAAACTAAATAAAAACACTCTACAATTTTCAGCTGGTATATTTGCAGAAAAAGAAATCTGCCTCTGGAATGTGTTTAGTAAGTTATGTTTTCTTAACTGAACCAAGGTACTGTCTTTTATTCAGTCTTGTTTATACAGACAAAAGATCGCATTTCATCTTTGGATATAGGAATAAAGACACATGTTAGTACTTAGATGAGTCTGCTGATCTTTTTCTCTAGACCAGAACCTTCCCTGAATTATATATATATATAAAGAATTGCAGGAAGTAATGAAATCCTTTTATTGGCGGCTCATGCTGAGAACATAAAACCATGGCAGAAACCTCATAACGATATTTTTCAGGAGTTAAAAATTTATTGTTTTCATTTCAGTGCTTTTCAGCGATCATCATATATATTTTGGTTTCAGAAATCCTTTTACTCAAGCTTTGCCTGTAAGCTTCTTAAAGGGCCCACTGTATATCATATATTGTAAGCTCAAGCAACAAATACCAATTTACAAAAATAGTTTTCCTCTCAATGTTAATCATTTTATATCTGTATGTTAAGGGCCCAGTGCATCAATTTAAATCCTGTTTTACCTTTTTTTTTTTTTTTAAAAAATAGAATAAAATAAATTGTATAACGTTTTATATAAAAGTATAGATAAAGGTTTCTTATTTATGTTTCTTATTTAATAATCGTGACACACATTGGACATTACTGCCAAACTTTCTCTTATCTTACGCAATCACTTGGCACGATTAAGACAAGACCTTTCTCTCACACTTTCGCTCTGTCACTGTCTTTCTCTCTCTGTTTTTATTTCTCTCAAGCTCTTTCTCTTTCTCACACACTCTTTCTCTCTTTCCTTCTTTTTCTCTGTGTCTTCCTCTCTATCTTTCTCTCTTTACTTTCTCCTTTGTTTTATTGTTTTTTTCGTTTTAATTTAATTAGTCACGTTCACACTTTCTCTTTCTCTCTGTCTTTCTCTCTCCCTTTCCTTCTCTCACACACTCTTTCCTTCTTTTTCTCTATCTCTTCCTCTCTATCTTTACTTTCTCCTTTGTTTTGTTGCTTTTTTTCGTTTTAATTTAATTACAGTCACGTTCATACTTTCTCTTTCTCTCCCTTTCTTTCTCTCACACACTCTTTCTCTCCTTCCTTCTTTTTCTCTCTATCTTTTCACGTTCACACTTTCTCTCTGTCTTTCTTCATTTCGTTGAATCGCTTTTCTTTTTTTTATTCATTTTGTTCCTCGCAAATGTTTCCCGCGTTTTTCCTTTTATCACTCAATCCTCACTAGAGTCAATCAGACTCCTCTTCCTTCTTCTCTTCCCTTCTTAAAAGTCTTACTTTATTTCTTCTCCTCCTCTCCCCATCTTTTAAGCCTTACCCTACCTCTCTTTTATATGTTAGCCTATATTTCTTCCTTCTGCTTTTCACTTCTTTTAAATTTGACCCTCATTCTCTTCTCCTACTCCCTTCTCTTACCCTACTTCCTTCTCCCGCTCTCTTTTTAAGTCTTAAGCTACTTCTCCTCTCCCTACCTCCTACTCCCTTCTTGAAAGTCTTATCTACTTCTCTTCCTTCTTCTCCTTTCTTTAAAGTTTTACCCTACTTCTCTTCCTTCTCCTCTTCTCTTCTTTTAAGTCATATCCTACTTCTCTTCCTTCTCCTCCCTTCTTTATATTTTACCCTACTTCTCTTCCTTCACCGCCTTCTTTCTTTTCTCTACTTCTCTTCCTTCTCCTCCTCTCTTCTTTTAAGTCTTACGCTACTTCTCTTTCTTCTTTTCAATCTTACCCTTCTTCTTTTCCGCCTCCATAACGTCGTTTTCTTTCTCTCTTTTTCTGTTTTATTTCCTTTCTTTGTTTCCATCACTTTTCTCTATGCAATGAATTCGACTGGAATTCGAACTCGGCTCTCCGATTTCTCAATCCGAGCAGCAATCCATTACTCCACCGTACATTGTTTGTACTTAATTTTTTTCACTTTCTTTTTATCTTTTCTTCTACTTTCTTCATCTCGTTAAATCTCTTTTAAATCTCGTTTCTTTCTTCCTTCTTCATTTTGATCTTCGTAAATGTTTCTAATATTTTTTTTCCTTTTATTATTCAATCCCTTCTATTCAATCAGACTTTTCATCCTTATATCTTTTCCTTCTTTTTAGTCTTACCTTACTTCTTTATCTTCTTCATCTCTTCCTTTTCCTTCTGTCTTTTTCCAGTTCTTAATATTTCATTTCCTTTTCCATAGCCTTTCCCCCTCCCTATCTTTTCTATCTTTTCTCTTCTTTATCCTCTTCTTTTTCTGCCACCCCTCTACCTAACTTTCTTTTCTATCTCTTCGCCCATTTCTCTTTTTCATCAGATTCTTAACTTTTTTTTTTATTCCACCTTTTTCCCTCGCTGTCTCTCTTTTCCTCCTTGATTCACTTCTCTCTCTTTCACATTTTTCTCTCACTCTACTTCACAATATCTTTTTTTTTTCATTTTTCTGTCTTTCTCTGTCTCTTTCTAAACTCTTATGCTTGCTTTCAACATCTGAATATCTGCAAAGACAACAATGTACGATGGAGTAATGGATTGCTGCTCGAATTGAGAAATCGGGGTGCCGAGTTCGAATTCCAATCGAATCCATTACATTCACTTAAATGAATCCGCCCCTTAGCAATGGGTAAATAACAGACCGGTTTCTCTAGCCTTGGATGGCAACTGGTCTACTGCAGAAAGAAATGGCAACCTCCTGCGGGGGAAAAAATCTGCCTCGTCAGTTATGTATCGAAAGATGTATGATCGCCTAAGCGTGTATCACGTTTGGCACAAAACTGACTGGCTCTTTTAATTCCTGTATGTTTATATATTGGTCAGTATAAATGTCAGTATGCCCCAACCTGTACTTTTCGGTTTTAAAGTTTGTTAGCTTTTAAACTTGCCTCTGCGAGCAGATCAAAAATGAAGTAAACGTTTTTTGTTTGTTTTTTAATATGAAGCCGATATTGGAACGGAAAAATCTGTAGGCCAGCCTTGTCCATAATGACAGGCATGGAACCATTTTCAAGACAGGAGAGACCGTATTGAAAGAAATGGACATTAGAGAAAATTCAAATAAGTACTGAGCACAATCTTCAATGACAACTACCAATCACTTAGTGTGAACATACAAGTCCATAATTACTATTAATACTAGTAACGATATTACCGATGCCGTTACTGTATCTGAGATGTTTTTTCTTTTAGAATCCTCAAATCGCAATTCCAGTTTTCTTGAGTTCCACTCGAATTAGCAAATTTATTGATCAGACTAACCCAATCCCAGCAATTGTAATACAAGCGATTCCATACGTTGTGCAAGGGGCTGCTCTCTGTGTTAGTCTTATTCAAAATAATAAAAGGCTACATGAAATTCCAAAGTTACTAACACGTAAATATCTCGTTTTTTCTCTGTTTTTTCCTTTCCAATATACACATCCTTGCACCTAGTTTGAGAAAGGTATACCAGATACATGCCTCACAGCCAAATTTATACAATACTAGCAGCAGAGCCCAGCGTTGCCCGGGGATGTAACAGTAAGAGATAGATCAAGTATCGACCACCATAAAGACTGAAAAATAAAATTGACAAAGATTATTGTTTAAGGTTGATGGACACGCATGTCTTAATTAGTTGTTTTTTTTTTTTTTTTTTTTTTTTGTTTTTTTACGAATTGGTCAAACCCAAACTCAAACAAAAACATTGTTTTCAATCGTTATGAGTCTATCGATTGAATAGAATTTTATTATAAACAATTGTCTTGTAAATGGAATTTTAAAGCATTCTGAATGTAAAAATAAAGAAAAAAGTGTGCAAGACACTAAGAAACACTACCTGCCAAAGAAAGTGAAGTTTTGTTGAAATCGGTTGAAAAATGTAGGAAATCCGATTCCATATATAAATGAACACACACACACACACACACACACACACAAACACACACACACAAACAAACAAACAACCTGGGTTTCATAATAAGTATAACTCGATATGAGTTGTCCCCCTTTCATTCTGGCGACAGAATCGTGTTTTATCATGTTTTCAAATTGATTTCGTGCAAAAACAATTGTGTTTTTCCCATTTTTGGCGCTGTCAGAACCACTGCAAGGTAATTTTACGTAGTCCTGTAAAGTTTTGTTGAAATCGGTTGAAAAATGTAGGAAATCTGATCCAATATATAAATGTACAGACAAACACACACACACACAATCTGTGTTTTATAATAAGTAAGATGGTGACAGGTTTTAATTATTATTATTAAAGTCTATAGAATGGGAGAGCCTCACCACAAGTGATGCAGCGTTAAAAATATACGAAGCCCAATATAATCATCCTTTCACCTTGTCTGATATGGGTATACAAGTTACATGCATCACAGCCAAATATATACAATATGGTTACAGGCATCAATAAAAGCATCGCATACATTTGCAGGTGGAGCCCATTTATATATTCCTTCATTTCAGGTAAATCAAACCACCATTCAGGCGGTCTCCGATTGAGGGTGTTCCTGTATATTTGTATATGACACCCAAGTCGCTTTGGGCGCCTCACCCATCCGCTTTAGAAAACATACCCAACTGGTGGTAATCTGTTAACTGACCAGCAAATATGTGGTACAGAACGGAACATTTACTGTAGTCCAAATAAATTCACCAAGACAAAACATGTACATATTAACACCTACAATCAATTAAGATCAGAATCCATGAGAGCCATGCTTGGTGTTGCATCAGGAAATTTATTATTATTAGTAGTAGTAGTAGTAGTAGTAGTAGTAATTTATGTTACAAAGCGAAATTAATCAAACAGCTTGGTATATATCTTATGGTACTATCCTATCATTCTGTTCATTTCCACGGGACGGGAAGTTAGTATTTTGCATACAAAAGTCCCCTCATGCGTTTTAAGGGTAGCATTGATCTAGAAAATTAATAGACACGCTAAACTTGTATATTATTATTATTATTAGTAGTAGTAGTAGTAGTTTATTAATAGTTTTAGTAGTAGAAAAAGAAGACATTTACATAAAATTTACATAAAAATGCAATAAAAATATGACATTATTTAATTCAAAAAGCTTTTAATTGCTTTTATAAAAACATATATTGAGGACAGACAAATGTGCCATGCATGATACGTGCTTAGGCGACCATGTATCTTTCGATACATGACTGACGAGGCAGATTTTTTCCCGCAGTAGGTTGCCATTGCTTTCTGCAGTAGACCAGTTGCTGGATGGCTAGAGAACCCGGTCTGTACTTCTATTTCACCCATAGCTGGCAGGGGAGGGGAGAAGGAGAGGATCCATACCTTTCCCAAGGGTATTAGCACCTAAGTGAATGTAATGGATTCGACTGGAATTTGAACTCGGCTCTCCGATTCCTCAACCGAGCCGCTATTTTCTTAAGAAAAACATTTTAGGTGAATAATGAATTTTTACAAGAATTGTTTTCATTTTTTAATTTAAATTAGAAAAATTTATTAAGTTCTAGATCTTTTAATATTCGGCATTACTTTCAGCCTTTTAGATGATATTATTAAGTGAAAACTATATTTACTAAACATAAATGTTAAACCTTAATACAGATCATCAAACTCTAATATTTTAATAAGAATATTGATTTTTTTGTATGTGTATAAACATGACATCTTTATAAATACAGGGGACTGTACACGACATTATCAGAAGATAAGAGCGATAACTATAGTAAATTTAAAGCCAAAATTTCTAAAATTCAATAAAACATTAGATAACGGAGAATATTTTCCTTAATTTTAAAGCAAGGAGGAGGCATAACATCAGGAAGAGGCAGCTGAAGTTTCTGAGACAGATAATGAGGAAGAAGGGTCTGGAGAATCTGATACTCACGAGTCGAACAGAGGGAAAGAGACACAAGGGAAAACAATGCGTGACTTACTTGGCGGGCTTGAGCAAGTGGATGACAGAACGTGGTCTGGGGGAGGAAGCAGAGGGAAGGAACTTGTTAAGAGCTGCAAGGGATGGAAGGAGGTGGAGAGCCATGATCGCCTATGTCCTGAAAAGACATGACACATAAAAAGAAAGAAAAGAGTACTTAAAAATGATACAAAAAAGGCGCTCACGTTATTTTCTTCAATTATGTTTTACGTCGAACATCACTAGATCTGCTATAATGCTGTCAGCACGTCAATTTTTACCCCAACTGTTGTTGGGGTAAAAATTCATTTCTACAACATTTAAAACTTAAAGTAAATAATATGTGTTTCAAATCAGATTAATTATACTTTAAATCAGCTAATATTCTCAAATAACGTTTCAGAAAAGTATATTTTATTTTTCGAAGATTTTTTTAATAAAGAGAATTACATGACGCTGAAAGACGACTAAAAAAGTGCGCTAAAAACAAAACAAAACAAAAAAAAACTCCTTCCAGTCAAGTTAAATTAGTTTTTGAAATACAGCAAAATATTTTGCTTCTTGGAAATATTAAATTTAATCTATTAGCTTTAAATTAAAACTAAAACAAAAGCTTTAAGTAAGATTTTTCATTTTTTTAAAATTCATTTTAAACTTTAGGTATCGTGTTTTTTTTTTGTTTTTTTTTGTGGAGGTCTCAAATTTTTAGCCATTAAATAATTATTTTTCCACTCAAACTCTTATAAAAAGTTTTCTTCCTAATCGTTTTTCTACTTGTGAAAATATTTCGCATGCAATATATATAAATATTTGTTTCTAATCGATATAGTAACCCTTTATAGTTGACGAATTCTTAAGGAGAAAATGTATTGACCCGTGTCTCTCAGCCTCATTGATTACTGACCAGAATAGGAAATGGTTAATGATTGAACGCGCCAAAAGACGGACGATTTCCTCGGCTGCGCGTTTATCGGAATATTTCTTTCTCGATATATAAAGCTGGATACATTTTTGAAATTTCAAGATATATTGCAATTATTCTGGTGACATTTTATGGGGATGGAGAATTGGATTAAACGCAATTTATCTGTTTTTAATACTGGCACAGTACTGTATCGATGACAATAAAGAAAGGAAACTGCAGGTACTTTTAGACAAGACAATAAAGGAAAGCAAGAAGAAAGGAGTAACTATCAATTGTAAAAAGACAGAATGCATGGACAATCCAAGAAGCAATTTACAAATTTGTTAAAAAGTTCAAATTAAGAATCTCTCTCTATATTCGTTTGTAATTATAAGACCAATCCGATGATTCAAGAGACGGTTCCCTTACCACTGGAAGATGTTCTCAAACATAAATACCCAAGCCGTGCATGTGAACAATTGAGTCCTTTCAAGAGAAATAGATAGCTAGAAAAGAATAGTCAGAATTTAGATTTATTTCCCAGAGAGCTAGGATATCTTGAGAACGTTCCAAGACAAACGATTCTATACTGCA